AACCTAAAAATGACAGAGTATAAAGTGGAGGATAATTAACTGTGTCAAAGGCTTCATGGAAGTCAAAGAGAATGAGGATTGAAAAAGGGTCACTGAATTTTGCAATTAGGAGATCATTAGTAACTTTGAAGAGAGTAATTTTGGTTGAATGATGAGTTAGAGGAGAGGAAATAGATATACTTGTTGTATGCAGCCTTCTCAAGGAGTTTAGCCACAAAAGACAAAAGACTTATGGGTTGACAGAGGGGATAGATGGATCAAGTGAGGGTTTTTTGAAGATGGGGGAGACATGAACATGTTTGTTGACAGCAGAGAAGTATCCAATAGACAGGAAGAAATTAAATATCAGGGAGAGAATGGGGATGATAGAAGGACCAATATGCTGGAGAAGATAGGATGGAATGGGATCATTTGTACAGGTATAGAGATTTGCCTTTGGCAAAGAAAAGGATCACTTCTTCTATGAGACAAGTGTGAAGGGGCAGCTAGGTGGTGCAGTGGATAGAGCACTGGCCATGAATTCAGGAGTACCTGAGTTCAAATCCAGCTTCAGACATATAACACTAGCTGTGTGACCCTGGGCAAGTCACTTAACTCTATTGCCTAGCAAAAAAAGAGAGACAAGTGTGAAGAGACAGTTGCAGAAGATATCTGAGTTATAATATTAAAGGAGGAGGGAGAAAGAAGATTGAGCTTACAGTAAAAGACCTCAATTTTTCTGTAAAATATGTGGCCAGATTTTCATCTGAAAGGGTGAGGGAAGGGGGAAGCCATGGGAGGTTTGAAGAGGGATGAGAAGATTTGGAAGAAGGGCTGTGGTGACTGGGATAGTGAGTTGATAAGACAGGTATAAAAGAATTGACTAGGACCAGTAATGGTCCAGTTGAAGTTATATAACATACATTTGTAGTAGATTCAGATGAGTTTTCTCCACCTTCATTCAGCAGCACATGTATAAGAAGAAAGTAAGCGGATCATGGAAGTGACCCAAAGCTAAGGCTTTGCAGGGTTCAACAGGTGACATAAGAGGGCTGGAGACTCAAGAAGAGGACAGTATACAGTTCAACTGGTTCATGAGGGGTAAAGATGTGAAAGGATTATAGTGTGGTTAATGCAGAGGAATTTAGGCATTGGAGGTGATAGTGTGCATGAAAAGCAGGATTTGGTTTAAGAGAGGTAAAAAATCAAAAATTTGTGATCAGATAAGGGAATTTCAGAGCTCTTGAAATGGAGGTGATGTATTTGTGGCTAATGTCAAGAAATGACCATTTTTCTATGTGGCTGAGGTAAAGTGGAAGAGTAGGTCATGGAAATAAGTAGCTTGAGGAACTGGGAGGTTAGAGGTGCTTGAGGGGCATCAGTATGTATGTTGAAGTCCCCTAGTATGACAGTAGGAGTTGGAGAGGAGAGAAAGATCAGAATTTTGATTGATTGATTAAATGTGAATTGTATGGAACTGAAAGGAGAAGAGGTTACTGAGTGATGGTGGTAGGAATAGAACCTGGAAATGATAATGGATATCGAGGAGTGTTCCTACTTCCCTGCCTTGACCATTTACTCAAGGGAAATGAATGAGAGTTCAACCAAAGAGCATCCAGGTAGGTTGTGCCATGAAGAGGCTGCCAGGTCTCAGTGAGAGGTAATATGTCTTGCCCAGCTAACTCATTCCTCTAGTACTACAGTGCTCTAAAGTTCTTTCTTTTCTCATGGTGCCCTTACACTGTTCCTCCAGGGCATGGTGCCTCTATTGGGCTAATTCCCTCTTGAATCAATAGTGGCCCTCTTTAATGCCAAGGGTCACACTCCTCAGAGCTAATTTTTTTTTTCTGCTCCCTCATGGGTTTGGTGTCTTCCCAGACAGCTCTAAGCTAGGCCACAACTACTCCTGTCTTCCTCCACTTTTGTTAAGGAATGTTAAGGGGTTCCCTGAACTTGTCCTTTTGAGTTGCCATATTTTCTAGAAATACTGGAGCCAGAGTTCTCAGGAGACCTTGAATATGTCAAAGACAAAGCCTTTTCCCTGCCCCCCCCACCATGACATAATTTCTTGTTTGCATCTCAAACTGGACTCCTTGTGTGTCCTTGGAACTCAAGTCCCCACTAAGCTGAGAAACTGCTTGTACAGCTGGGACCCTTGTAGATAAGCAGACCATGATATCTTCATGGTCTAGCAGTTCCCAAGGGAAAAGAATGCTGCTTTTGCATAGCCTTGCCCCTCCCCTCTGGGAGGGGTTTTATCCTTTTCCCACCTTTACTGAACCTTTCCTCTCCCAGGCCAACTTCTTTAAGAGGAGATTTGTGTTTTCTCCTCCTTCCTTTATTCTACTGCTGTAAATTATAAACTTCTGTGTGACTTGTAAACTTGGATTCCACAGTATGTTCTTTCCTCTCCTAATAAACCTAGTTTTTACCTAAGTTTTGTGAAGTTGTGATTTCCTGTTGACACCTTGCATCAGAACTTGAACTACTGATCCTGGAACACTGGTGCTCTGATAAGCGAACTCTCAACTTATATTGCCCAGCACTAAGACACCTTGCTACCACCAGACAGCCCCAGACCCTACTGTGTGGGCCAACTACTCTCCCCTGCGTTCCAACTCCAGCTCCCCTGTATTATGTTTCCTCATTAGAATATAAGTTCTTAATGATCAACATGGAGATTTGTAAGGCTTGTTTATTATAGGCTGTGAGAACCATTATCCCAAAACAGCTATAGGTCTTGGAACAAGGGCACACTTCCCCTTCATGGTTCCAGGAGTACCCTCGAGGAGCTAGGGGTGACTCTTTAATGACAATGGTGACTCAAACCTCCCACAAGTGTGCTTGCCCCCACCAAGGTTACCAGTTGGGAAGCATTTTAGCCAACCTTAAGTAACTTTTAGAAACAAATTTTTTCTAATCTGGTACAATTAAGAATTAGTATAAAAACATCCCAGCCAAAAGTCTGTGACACACTCTTCCGAAGGTGAATAAAGTCCAAAGGAAAGGGAACTCAAGCTTTTTTTTTCTTTTTTGGTGAAGCAATTGGGGTTAAGTGACTTGCCCAGGGTCACACAGCTAATAAATGACTTAGGCTAGATTTTAACTCAGGTCTAAGCCCCTAAGCTGCCATCATATGACGAATGCTAGAAGCCTTCCTCCATTTGTGTGGTACCCAAGAAGGTCCCCTTAGGCATGGTGTAGTCAATTTGCTTTCTTCCTTGTGGAGCCATGAATATATGTCTACTCTATACTTGACTCCTGAAACAGACTTGGCCACAGGTGATCTGGGAATGCCATTGGGACACCAATGGGAAGATGAGAAGTCCAATATCTTCTAGACCTTATAAAGCTCAAAAGGTCATCATGCGGCCAAAAGAGAGCTAGGGGAGAAGACCTGGCCAAAGTCCAAGGTAAAGTCTCTTGTTCCCTTCACTCCCCTCTCCCCATGTTCCTTCTCTCCATCACTGTCCAGGCTTGAAAATTTCAGTGACATGTGATTTTATCTCTGGGGCACTCCCTTCCCTGGCTTAGACTTCTCCTTGCTTTTTAAGTTGTTTCACTGGCCCCAAAGAAACCCATAACCTGATGGCCAATCCTAAAAACACAAATTAGAATCTTTTAAATTTCACTAGAGAAATAAAGTATTTAATCACAGGAGGAAAAGAATTGCTTGTCTTGATTCCTCTTTGGCTGGCCCTTTCCTCACCTCTCCTCTCACACAGAATCGTAGAGCTTTAAAATTTTAAGATCTTTGTAGTTTAATCCAAGCACTTTATTTTTACAGATGAGGAAATCTGAGACCAGAGGAAACTGGGCATGCCTAGAACCTAGGTCTCCTGACTTCCAGATCAGTGCTCTTTCCTTTCATCTCCCTGCTCTTAGAACTGCATAGGCTCTGGTCTCTCATTCAACATTTAGTCAATTCAACATTTGTTGTTGTTCAGTCCTGTCCAACTTTTCATGACCCCATTTGGGGTTTCCTTGGCAAAGATACTAGAATGCTTTGCCATTTCACTTACCAGCTCATTTTACAGATGAGGAAACTGAGGCAAACAGTATTACATGACTTGTCCTGGGTCACACAGCTAGTTAGTGTCTGAGGCCAGATTTGAACTCAGGAACCCGAGTCTTTCAGACTCTGGGCCCCAGCACTCTACTGCATCACCTAGCTGCCCTTCCCCCCCTCTTTCCCTGCGGGGGGGGGGGGGCCACTACGTGCTGGGAATGCAAAAACAAAAAGTCTCTATTCTTAAGGAGTTAACACTTTATATGGCACATAAATATGCTAGATTTTGTCCTAAGCTATAATTGTTGAAGACGCTCTTATTTTTTCATTCTCAGTCCTGATTCCTCCATCTTTATTTCTGGTTTCTTTACTTTTTTGGACTTTTTTAGAATTTAGGATTTTTTGGGGGGGGGTCTCTTTGACTCCTTTCTCTCCTAATTCTTTTCCCCATGCTTAGACCTGGAGGAAGGGTTCTGTGCAAGCCTCACAGATGGAAGCAGCTTAATAAATATTTGAATGGGGGAGTGGGGTGGAGAATGACCTTTAAAATCAAAGTACTTTATTCTGTCATATGCCCCCAGAGGGATGGCTGTAGCTCACACATGCAGTAACGTTGGAAAGTGAACTAAATTCTACTTAGGTTTCAGTATGCATCAGATTGAGGCACAGCAAACTTCACTGTTCACTATGTAGGGAATCCCCTAGCAAAACTATGAACTGGAAGTTTGCATATACTGTCACTTTGCTTTCTTTTTCTTTCTCTCGCTCTGGATATGATCCTAAAGACAAGGACTTAAGGAATGAATCTTTTTTTATCTTACAATTCCACAGATCATACTAAAACTCAAAGGAGCTTGAGCACTTGAATACTCAAAGGGTTTCGTTACCCTTTTAGCTACTTCCGCTCAAGCGGCCGGAAATAGCCGAAGGCCTTCGTTGTCCTCGCAGCTACTTCCGCAATAATCGGAAGGGGCCGGGGCTAAGCTGACGGCTGGTTCCACGCATTGCATTGTGGGAAGGGCAGCCGGTGCCGTCGCTGCCATTTTAGGGAAGTCCTGTAGCTGAGGCCTTCGCGTCTGGGGGGGGGGGAAGTCCTTCGTGGCCGTTGTGAACACGGAAGATCGGTCTAAGGCCTACCGGGCCCGCTCCCGGACTTCCGATCTCGGCGGAGCTCTCAGGCAGTGTCCGGAGACACCGGGGAGAGAGAAGTAAGGGAGCGCGAGGCGGGGGGGAGAGGGGCCCGTAGGCGAAAGCGGCCGAGCCAACAGCGTCGTCGGCCCGCAGAGATGGGCCGGTCCCGGAGTCGGAGCTCGTCCCGCTCCAAGCACACCAAGAGCAGTAAGCACAACAAAAAGCGGAGCCGGTCGAGGTCGCGATCCCGGGATAAGGAAAGGGTTCGCAAACGCTCCAAGTCCCGGGAGAGCAAGAGGAACCGGCGCCGGGAGTCGCGCTCTCGCTCGCGCTCCACCAACGCGGCCGTGTCCCGCCGCGAGCGGGAGCGCGAGCGCGCTTCGTCCCCCCCGGACCGCATCGACATCTTCGGGCGCACGGTGAGCAAGCGGAGCAGCCTGGACGAGAAGCAGAAACGCGAGGAGGAGGAGAAGAAGGCAGAGTTCGAGCGGCAGCGAAAGATGTGAGCCCGCGGCAGGGATGGGGAGGGGAGGGAGGGGGGAGGGGAGAGGGAGGAAGGCTCCTCCACGCGCGAACACCGAGGCCCCTTCAAGCTTTTTGGAAGAGAGGATTCCTCCCGCACCGACGATTGGACTAATCGGGAAGCATGTGGTTCAGGGCAAGAAAGGCCTGCAGAGGAGAATGCTATTTTGGCGCGGGGCGGGAGCTGGGAGGCCCGAGTTCAGAGGGAGGGCAGTGGGAGAGGGGGAGGGGTAATCATTTTGAGGCGGGGAAATTGGGTTGTCCGGGATGTGGGAAGCAGGCCCAGTGGGCACTGAATTTTTCTTTGCAAAGATTAATCGCACAGGGAGAGTTACGTTACGTCCAGGATGGCCCTGCATTTATGAGAATTGGGGTGTCGGGGTGTACTGATGCAATGTAAAACCCAGCTAACTAAATTTTTTTTTGTTTAAATTTTTTTTTCCACTCTACGGACGATTAATTTAAGAAGCAGTACTTATTTTGTTGAAAGGAAGTAGAACATTTCCTTGCTCAGCGGGATATTTTAAATATTAGGTTATTCATTATTCTCTTGGAACTTTAGGATACTAGATTTATAAATGGTAAGGGACCTTAAGGGGTCATCTTGTCCGCCCGTCTTATTGTGCAGATGAAATCCACCTGTGATGTCTACATTTTTTTCTAAGAGTTTTTCTAAAAGGTTCAAAATTTTCTAAGCTTTCTTGCCCACATTTCTCATTGTGCAGATGAGATCAATTATACTACCAAAACTCAGGTTTTGTTTACATTTTTTAAGAGCTTTTCCTGTTACAACTATAGTACCTTCCGTTTTTACTGATTGTTTAGAGAACAGGTTAATCATAATTCATATACTGTTGCCAAATGTGGAATTATATGGAGGGAAAGAGAAAAGCTTCTTTTTGAATGTAGCAGTTTGATGAGTTAAACTTTTATTTGTATTGCGTTTAGTAGACAGAGTGCCTTCTGAAAACCCTATGAAATAATTTGTAAGAATCATCCCTATTTTTAAAGACTCAGCTGTGTGCAGAGCACCCTTTAAAGTCATAGATGAGATGAGTTCCAGCCTTCGTGAGGCTTGATAAAAGTATGTGACAAATCCAAAATGGGGGGGGGACACGCTAGGCAATGGGGTTAAGTGACTTGCCTAAGGTCACACACAACACTTAGGTGTTTAGTGTCTGAGGCTGGATTTGAACTCAGGTCCTCCTGATTCCTGGGCTAGTGCTCTATCCACTGCCCCACCTAACCACCCCTGACAAATACAAAATAATAACATAACTACATATGAAAGGTGCAAATAGTGCTGTATGAAGTGGAGGGAGAGTGTGAAGGTTATTATCGACTTGGGGAGAGTAAGGAGAAGGGACAACACATAAAGAGCTTGGAATCTGAAAGTCTGAATTTGAATTCTGACTTTTAACACATATTAGCTATTTAATAACCTTGAATCTAGTCATTTCTTTGAACGTCAGTTCCCTTATCTGTAAAATGGTGTTTTATGAGAGTATGTGGGAAATAAAAAATATCTCAATAATCCATAAGTATAATAAAATAATACCTAAGTATATGAAAAATTAAAATAATACTTAAGTGTATGAAAGATACAAATGTTGCTTAGTGAGGTACAGGGAGATAATGAAGGTTATTATGGACTTTTGGAGGTGGAATAAGAGGCTATATGTTGTAGTAGAAAGAGCTTTGTAGTCTGAATTTGGGTTCTAGCCATGTGACCTGGAATCTAGTCTGTAATTTCTTCTCGGAACCTCATTCCCCTTCTTCTGAAAAATGGAGGGAGACCATACTCAGGTTCTGACCGCTTTACCGCTTTACAGGATTATGTGAAGGAGATGTTTTGTGGAAAAACAATTATATTAAATCATGTTGCTATTGGGAAGGCTTTCTAGAGGAGGTGGCATTTGAGTTTGGCTGCCTGTGTATGGAACAGCCTATACTACCTCTACCCTATTGAATGTATGAGATAACAGCTTACATTAATATAGTGTAATGGTTTAAAAAACATTTTCTTAGCACAGTGTTATGGGTTAATAGTGCAAATATTGTTTTTCCCACTTATGAGGAAATTGAAGTTCATAAAGGTGAAAATGCCCACAATCATAGATAGGGCTAGCATATGTCAGGAATATTAAGATATAGACCCTTCGTTTTTATAAATGAGGAAACTGAAACCCAAAAGAGGTTGTGATTTACAAGACGTGGCAGCCGCTATTGGAATCCAGGTACCTGACTTCATATCCAGGATTGTTTCAACTGCATCAAGCTGCCTTTTAAATTGGTCCACATAAAATTAGTTTCATTCAGGAATCCTTAATAGGAGATCACTCAAGTGTTGGGGATGATCTAAACCATTTTTAAAAGATATTTTTGGTTTTGGAATGTTGTTTTTTGTTTTGAATAAGGTCTCTGATGCCCTGGGAATTCAGTTTAGTTTTGTTTCATTTTTCAAACTAGAGACCAGAGTACTGTCCATTGTAGCATTCCTATTTCTGTTTGAGTTTTTTTCTTAATGCTGCTGAGTGCCTCTTTGGGCAGAGCCCTTGAAGACACATTTGGGAAGTTCATGCAATTTTGGGGACTTAGTAGTGTGCTGAATGAAGCTTTGGAATATGCATGTGTATGTGTGTGTCACACACACACACACACACACACACACATTGTCATGTTTTCTTGAGAGCTTACCCTTGGTAACTTGCAGTAGACAATAGTAGTAATGATTAGCATTAACATCGTTTAAACGTTTGTGAAGTGTTCTACATGTATTTTCTCTTTTTTGACTACTTGAAATTTTGCTGTCCTAGAGTACTGATACCACTGAGCCCCAGAAGCCATTACTAGTACCTGCTTCCCAGTCCTATGTAAATTACCTTGTATTTTGTGTATGTGTATTTATTATATTGGGGGGGGTACATGTTATGGTATTACCTCTATAGATTGTAAGCCCCCAAAAGGACAAAGACTACTTCATTTTTGTATCTTTGTATAGCTATCCCCTAAAAGTGCTGGCTTAAAATAGGCCCTTAATAAAATATCTGTTGATTACTTGATTTTTAAGGATGCAATTGCCATTCCCTCCCATAGGCCTACTTTTTATCTTATTTAGCTACTTTTTTCTCCTTCCTCTTATTTTCACTTGCCCGTGATGCCCACATTTCTTCCCTCTTCCCACCTTGCTACATTAATGTTTTCCTTTTCAGTAGTGTAGATCCTTCCAGTCTAGACTTTGTTCAAGACTTACTACCAATATATACTACTTTAGGACTCCCTAATAATGTTATATGTCCTTCATTTTCTAAATTGTGAGGTTGTCCTTAATGTTCTTTCCTTACCTATTAACATAATTACCTATGTAGTTGAGAGGAGGTCTTCTCTGGTTATAGTCCAGGTATTGTGATTAGGAAAGCATGGTAAGATGCAGAGAGATAGAGATTTGTGAGTTGTATCTGGTAAAGACGGACTTTGCTGAGAAAGAAAAAAACGCTCCTTAAGTACCTAGCAATAGGTAAATATAACTGAGAAAAAAATAAAGGCCCTAAAATCAACATGATTTGCTTTGGTTTCTGTGTTTGTTATGCAGGGGCAAAGAACTTTGGCTGTTCCCTAATAAGTAAAAGGCCAACTTTTTCATGTAAAAGTCAAGAAAAGTAAAAAATGAGATAGAATAGACAAAATAAATGGAAGAGAACAACATTAAAAGGAAAACAGACACAGACAACATGTCCATGACCAAGGCAAAACAGTAATTATGCAGTTTTGGCTGGGAAAGAAGTGAAAACAGCCTCATCCATTGTACTTAAGTAACACTTGCAGGTACCAGTATGCCATGTCGAAAACATGCGAACTGGTAGTGTTCAGCATTGTTTGGGTGCTATGTACATGGAGCAAAGAGTAGTGCCCTTTGTGCCATAGAGACTTGTACAATAATATATCTCTTAGGTTTGACTCCATTTTTCTTCCAAGGAGAGGAAAAGGGCAGAATTACACGATTTTGTGATAATCTAATCATAAGATTTGCACATAACCAGAAAGGACACAGGAAAATATTGAGAGTTCAGTACTCATGTTGATTCATATATCCTTTATAACATTAGAATTTGGGAAGAACTTTGTGTCTCTTCCTTTAGCATAGGTGAGGGATCCCTGAGCAGGACATTCCTGGCCTTTGGGTAACATTGGGGCCTATTTTTAGCAAGTAGTCATCTAAAACTGTGGAAAAGCATAATGTGATCCAGTTAAATTAGAGCACGTACACATTGGTCTATATCAACCAGTCTACATTTATTAATCACTTATGTTCCTGGAACTGTACTAAGAACGGAGATACAAAAGGGCAGTCCCTGCCCTTAAAAGGAGCTTACATTATCTAATGAAAAAAGCTATAGGTGGCCATTGAAAAGATACCATTTTATGAGCAAATGCTTGAGATTTCAGGCTCAGATAGAGCTTTAGAAGCCTAGATAGAGTTAGTTGGCAGAGCAAATCAGGATATCGTATAATTGGGGCTTTTGTCTGCAGAACTCACTTTTGAGCAGGCTGGCCTCTGGGCCATTTACAATACAATACAATATTTTTGTTGGACTTGGTGTTGTATGTGTGGTTTTTTTTTAATTTGATAGGTCTTTGTGAATTATGTGCTCTAAAGTTTAATCAGAATAAGAAAGTTGATTTATCTTTGTTAATTCAGACACTTGTGAACTAAAACTTTTGGTGATTAAAAATTTGATCAGTTTTCAATGGAGTTATTCAAACATGTATTAAGTGATGATAGCATACTTTCCCATTTGTTTGCAGAGCATAGGTGAATAACTTCCCTAAAAGATAATTTCAAAGTCATGGGCTACCTGAGGGTAACAAAGTTAGGATATTGCTGGATAATTGTAGTTTCTCAGCTTAGCCTGAAGGAAGGGTTAGTTTTTCAGAATGTGTTTACCTTTGTGTCCCTCTGGCTTACTCAGCCTGTCCTAC